AATAATTTAGTCCTATTTGGGGCTATTTTCCCTTTCTTTTATTGTTTTTTCCATGTTTTGTTGTTTACTCCTTCTTTCGTTTTTTTAAACTTTGCATAATTCATTTTTTACTTTTATTGTTTTCCCCATATTTTATGGTTTACCTCTTCACCATTTGCAAATTCATTTTTTGGGCTTAATTATTAAAAATTATTTTTTTAAGATTAAATTATTAAATAGAAATTGCTCAATATAAGACTAAAACATATACAAAGTTTTGCATAATTAATTCATTTTACTTTAATTGTGTTTCTCATGTTTTATTATTTACCCTTTTCATAATTCATTTTTTTGGGTTAACTATTAAAATTATTTGAGTGTTATGATTAAATTATTAAATAGAAATTGCTTAATATAGGACTAAAACATATACAAAATTTAAAAAAAGGACTGATTATGTTTTATTTCCCAAATGAGACTTATTAAATCCTATTAAAAGAAAATTTTGATTAAAACTTCTCAAAAGAAGAGTTCATGAGTCACATTTTAGGATGAAGAGATATTTGGATAGTGTACAAGATTTAAAAAAATTCGGAGTGCGGGAGTAATTCAGATGTTAACTTAAATGATTCGCCATTAGTAAATGAAGAATTGGATCAAGTAATTGCTAAAAGTGAAACTAATTTGGCTTATAATCTCCATAAACAACATGTTGATTTTGAATATTTGGAAGCTGGTTCTTGTAGTGTTCATTGAGAAAAAAATGTTGATTTTCATCCTAATGATCAAGACGAGGTACGCCGCAGTTACCTTTAAAAAGGGCCGTTTCACCCTCGGGGTCATGATTTCTCTTCTAAGGGTAATTGGCGGCAAAAGATGTAGATTTGTTTCAAGTTGGTTTGATAAGCATAAATGGTTGAAATACATTATTATATTGGTAAAGAGGTTGCATTTTATTTGCCATGGTATTTGTTTAAGAATGAGTGTGAGGTTACGTTGTGATCTTTTTTTAGGAATCGGATTTTCATATGCGACATTTTGTTTACCATGTTATTTCCCTTGCAAGATGTTGTATTTTGTTTATCATGTTACTTGTTTACTATGCTATTTTTTAATTTTTATAAATTAGAGTGGCATTAGGATAGGGACCCCGTGGTTCTGTTTTTCTGGGTCCGCCACTGATTAATGATAATTATAATTGCATTTTCCCACAAAATAGTTATAGTAGCATAATAATATTAATAATAATAATAATATTAAAATCTTACTATAAAATCATAAAATTATCATAGATGTTTTACTTTGATATAATTATCAACTTACTTTACACATTATATGTATGATTTCTAATATGTGTGTAAATGTTTATTTCAAAAACTTTGAAATGGATTTATGTATATTAATCATAAAATTGATTCACTTTAGTGTATTGTGCACAACCTCAAAATAATTTCACATAAAAATACAATGTTACAAGTGAAATTTAAAAACACATATTAAGTCACAACATGCATTTATAATATAAATATACTCCATATAGAAAAAGTTGTTTTAAAGTGATATTTGAGTAGATGATAAAAAAAAGTGATATTTGAGTATTATTTGACTATCATGTTTTGTTTTTACTCCTTCTGTTGTAAAACTCTTGCATCAGGTTTGTGGATTGAGAGGTCTACGGTAATCGTCGTTGACTTTAATTTCCCAAGTAAGGTCTAGCGAGTTATATTGCTTTCCCCAAGGTGGTTAACTCAGAGTCGTCTCGACAAAGGGCGGATGGTCACATGTGGTCCTTTTACGTTCTTGTACCCTTGTTGAATGTTATTTTAATGATATAAGCGCCCATCGAAAAAAACACTCAAGATCAAAGTGATTTGATATTCAGATATGATCTGTTAACTATTCATATTTTTCAAAGAATATGAATACAAATAAAAAATAATATTTGTTTCATATTAGAATTCGGCTTCGTATTCGAAAAAACAAAAAAAATTAATGAATACAAATATCACATAATTCGAGTTGATCCGATTTGTTTACAACCTTACGAGCTGCAATTGTGCTCCGTCAATAACCTCAATTCTAAACCAATAATTTTCACAAAAGTCTAAAAATCAGATCAATAGTTTTTGGTTCAATTTCTTTTAAAATAAATTCAAGTGCAAAAATTAAGATCTCAGGATTATTTTTTGTTTATTTAGATGATAAAATCTAAAAAAAATGTAAAAACAATCATGAGATTTTAATTTTTACACTTGAACCTATGCATGAAAAATTTTGAACCGAAATCTACCAATTAGATTTTCTCATTCTGTACAAAATATTGGTTGTAGAATTAGGTTTACTGACGGAACATGATTGCAAGTCACATTTTCACCCCATATGATCTTCATTTTTTTTTGCCTCAGTTAGCCATTCTCTCTATAGGGCTTCCTAGCCGCTAGAGCCTTTGTCTCCGGCGGCGATCAATTCTGATCGTGGGTTCCAGCCGTTTTTGTTCAATTTGTGTGTTTCTGTTTTGCTTACGTCGTCAGAATTAGCACTCGTTGCTGTCGAACGTTGGTCAGCGACGACATTTCCTTTCATTTTGATCTCAGGCAATAGGTGAACCGATTGGTTCTCTTTTTTGGGAGGAAGAATGAGTTTGGGTAGCAAGGGCATGACAGCGGTGAAGATGACCGCTAGCGGTGGATTTGCTAAGAGCGCGGAACGAGGAGATTTGCGCGGCTTTTGAGCAGGCCAAATGACGATTAGCAATGGAGGGTCAATGAGAATGGTACCAGGGATATGGCCCCCTCTGGAACCACCGCCATGGGATGTTCGAGGTGATAGAGTCCGTGAAAGTTTTCCTATTAGTTATTATTTTTTTTGTTATTTGGATTCTTGTTATCGTCTATGTTGTTAGTTTTGTCAGTTTGTTTGGGATTTCAACCTTTTTTTATGACATTGAGTATGTTTGGATCTATGAGATCGGAACATGGATGACTGTGTCAATCCCGCTACATGGTTAGCGATTCGCGTTGCTCTTTCATGGGTGACCGCCTCTAAGTCTGATCATAGGGTTTATAGTCGTAGTTGTTAGAATTTAGTTGATGCCAGTTTTGTTTTTCTTTTGACTGATGTAATGATCCTGAAATTTATGATATGAAAGAAGACTAGTTGACGATAAAAAATCTTCAATTTTTTTAAAAAAAAATTATATATGAATATTGGTGTCATATGAAAGATCATAAAAGATTATAAAACTTGATATAATTTTTAAAACATTTGGAACAAAAATATAAAATATATATAACTTTAAAGAAAAAGGATTTTTTGTAATTTAATCCCACTTTTCTCTCCTGCGAATGAGGAATTCAAAGCCAAGGAAAGTCGTTTCCGTATATGAAAGACGAAGTGGCCAAATCAATTGGCGGTTCTGCCCAGTTAACTTCAACATTATATTGATAAATATTTTTAACTTACCATGTTTTCGTAAATAATTTACTTCCTCTGTTATTAAATAAGTGCAACAGCAAATATTTCACACTTGTCGAGACACAACTTTGACCATTAATATATATAATTGTTTATTAGTAAAAAAAATTAAAAAAAAAATTGAAAATTTAAAATGAGACATTAACTATATTTTTTTCAAGAAAATATATTAATACATTATTTAATTAAACGTAGTCAAAGTACAACGTGTGAATAGTGTAAAATTCAACATGTTACACTTATTAAAGAACGGATGTAGTATATTTTAGCATTAGTTTTGAAAAAAACTCACATATTCATAACCTCCCTATTAAATGAAATTTGAAAGATAATTTAGAACGGGGTCAAGTATTAGCCATAATCTACAAAAATGAATGAGGGAGCTGCCATAGATATTGAGTGTACGAAAAATATCTCAATAGTGCACTACTGATGGTTTTCTACGTCAAAATTGATGACGGATTTCAATGTCAAATGCCAGGAAACTTATTACTCCGTATTACCGTCTGACACGGCATTTGGTAGAACAAAAAGACAAAATAATGACGTATAAGAGGAATTTTTTGTACTCCCATAGTCCTAATCGGAGTAATGATTAGTTAACAGTCAATTCGATTTATGAACAAGTTGAAGTTAATTACTTCCTTTTTTTCGCAATGAATGATTATTATTGGGTGAGAAAAAAAGGAGTTTTTTTCGAATTAATGTTAATTAATTAATTAATTACGAAAATAATGCTGGAAAAAAAGTATTTACCAATATACTGCTAGACCTTAAACACGGTCAGGGGTAAGTCGCCCAACGGTTGGGCGACTTACCCCTGAAATATGGTTGAAGGCGAGCAGCTACTGTCAGCCACGCACGATCGTGCGTACCCTGGGACGCACGATCGTGCCTAGGTCCAAAAACATCATTTCAGCAGATTTTTCGCCTCAATTCAACCCGGACTCATCTGTTTGCTATAAACAAGGTCTTTCTTCTCCTGTTTAAGTGTTACGAGCCAGATACAACACATTATAAAACACATTATAAAACATACAACATACGTATTCTCAATCACATACATAACACCTCCTCTCATCAACATAAAAAACACCTTGAAAATACCCTTTACAAATCAAATACAAAATCTTACATTCATAACCGGTATAACACAGTACAATCATCCAATATTCATATCAAATAATCATCTAATATTCAGACTTTACAAGAGAAAATACGTCAAATGTTGTAAATTGTTCCTACAACATCTACTGCATAAGAAAAACTACAATACAAAAGACAGACTACAAGTTCCCATCGTCAGCTTCGTCATGGAGATGTTGCTGCTCATGTCTACGCCTACGCCGTTGTCGTGATTGAAGAACCACTCTCTCATGCTGCGTCTGAGATGATGAAGCCGCTGCTGCACTAGACGTGGATGGCATCTCCTGAGATGGGGGCATGTGTATAAGATGGTTGTAGTCGACTCGCCCCAACACATCTGAACATAAGGACGCAATGCCTGTGAGAGCCTGTCCATACAAGTCCACATCAGAACTATCAGTCACTGTGGCAGTAGCCCGCTGATGTATGCGCTGCAAAGCTCGTGTCTGAAATATGAAACACAATTACATTTACATTGAAATATATACAAATATTACATAAATAAAATGACTTACTTTACTAATTAGTAATATACTCACCGTAAGATGCAAAGCTAAGGAACTAGGCTGATAATGATGAGTAGGGAGTCTGAACGAAGGAGACACAAACAAACGAGTGATGCTGTAATACCATCCCATGTAGTCTCCTGAAACAGATGGCACATATGTCGGTGTCCCGGCCACAACTAGCTCAGCTCTCGTTTCCCACATAGTCACATATCGGACATGTCTGAGTGCCCAATCCTCTGTATGCTTCCCACGCCTATCTAGCCTATGCAGCTCAACATAAGTGTCGATAGGCCGTGGAACCACCTGCTCAAACCCAAACTGTCTCAAGACTCTATCAGGCAAATGAAGCTCAACAATGTCAAAATATATCAACGGCACACGTGCTCGCCATATGTGAGTATGCTCTCGTCCAGCTGGGGGCAACTCTGCTAACATCTCAGGTGTAAACGGAATCCATGTAATCTGTTTCATAAAGATACAAAATTAGGAGATTTTCTTTACATATTATAGTTAATGTTATACTACCCACACCATACCTGGTCCTCAGACATCCGATCAAATGCATCCGTGTACACACCGAGTCCAGTAGCGGATGACATGCGAGATAGACCAGCATATAGCCATCTAACCATTCATGTAATAGTATCATTAATATGGATATTATTAATGTATTTACACACAACATACACTCACATTAATACAAACGATTGAAAACATACCGACGGCCTAGAGGGTCCTCGCCCCGTACATGATGAGGTCCTAGAAGACGTGGAGGCTCATCAAGCAGTGGCTGTCCATCAATGCCATGATATCCGACTATAATGGGACGGCCAATGTGGATGTACTCCCATGAGCAAATCTGGAGGAGTAGCAAAAATCCCCCAAGCTCTGTGCTCCCTCTCTGGCAGCCGCGACAAAGCTGTCTGTACAGGTAAGCCAGGGTCGCACTACCCCAGCTGAACTGTGCTGCTACATCAAACCTCTATAGCAAAGGCAAGTGCAGCACCTGAACCTCATTTCCGCTCTTGTCATCGAAAATGGAGGCTCCCATCATCATCAATATATAAGCCCGAGCATGCTGTTGGATCATCACCTCATCAGCGTCGGGAGGAAGCAACTGGAAGTGCTCCCTCAACCATGGCATCCTCAGAGATGACCCCTGAAGGTCAGTCCTAAGAACGGGGCGGATACCTAACAACCGCTCACACTCATCCACCCACTGTCGACAAGCAGTGCCTGTAACAGCTCTCCCATGAAACTCTAACCCGGTAAGTACAACAACATCTCCCAATGTCACTGTCACCTCACCAACTGGGAGGTGAAATGAGTGTGTCTCCTGCCTCAAACGCTCAAGTAGAGCAGTGAGAAGCGCTCTATCTAGAGGCACAATAGCCACTAATATGTGAAGAGTATAAAAACCTGCAGCACCAACGAATGTGAAGAGTATAAAAACCTGCAGTACCCTGTCGTCGACGTGCAAATGCGACAAACCCCACAGGTGCTCGCGGCACCTATCCACCTGAACATCCATGCCAAGCCAAACATCCTCACTCCTGTGCGAGGCCTGCAATGTCAGGACAGAACGATCACTCGGCCCAGGATCCGCTGTCACCTCCATGCCTACACACAAACAAAAATTGTATTAATTCTTATTCAATAATAAATTAATTGTTTTTTTAACATCCTTTTTTGAAATGATTATTTTTTCTTTCAACGAAAACATTAATTGTGATTCACTCTAAATAGAACCTTACCCAGCGGACCCCCTCGTTTCTAGACGATCTCTTCGCACATGTGCTCTATTATGGCCAGTTTGGTGGCATTTTCCACATCTAACCGTTCCTCGTGGACCTTCATCCATCTCATTCTTAATACGTGTCGACTTTGGTCTTCCCTTAGCCCGTAGCATGGATGGATCATGCACAATTTCGGGTCCATTGTAAGTAGGCCAATAATCACGATCAGGAATCGGTTTGAAGACTCTATGATAAGTGGCGGCGTATTGGTCAGATGAGAAAAACTTATCCACAAATGGAGCATAAGACAAACTACGTTGTCTGCACACGACTAACACATGGGAGCATGGAATCTTATATATCTCCATCTTTTTACAAGTGCAAGTTTTCCGTTGTAGATGGACAGTTTGTTTTCTCCAACCCTTTCCCAATGTTCGGCCACCACAACCGGTTTCCACCTGAAATATACCTCGGCCTAAATCAAATGGAGTGACACTGTGATGCTTTGCCTTCTCTCTATTTTTTTCAATTAAATCTGTGATGTGTGGGGAGTACTCGTGGCCTTGTGTGAGCCTCAATTTACTGGTTTCACGCCTAGTAACAAAATATGCGTTAACCCAGTAAAAAGAAACCTGCACCAAGGCGGTGATGAGCAAATATCTAGCATATCCGCCATCGTGGTGCAGTGACCACATTTCCGGAGGAATGTTGGCCAAAAAGTGTCGTGCCTCCAAACTCATTTCACCTATCTTCTTGAACCCCCCATCAAATTTCTTTTTCTGATGTTGCCGTGCGGTCCAGACAAAATGATTTTTTAGATGAATGTCTTTGAAATGAGTGTGCACATTTGATGCAAGATGGTGGATGCATAGCCTATGATGCGCATAAGGCTCCTCCCAAGTACTGCCCACCTCATTCATTGCCCTGACAATACCTCCATGTCTATCTGAAATGACACACAACTCCCTGTTAGTCACAAACTGCCTAATACATGCCATAAACCATGGCCAACTATCTTCATTCTGAGATTCAACAACTGCAAAGGCCACTGGAAATACTTGGTTGTTCGCATCACAACCCATGGCCACGAGCAATGTACCCTTGTACTTTCCATACAAGTGTGTCCCATCAATAGTAAGTACGGGTCGACAATGCTTAAAACCATGTATTGATGCCTTGAATGCCCAAAAAACTCTTTGAAACTGCATATAACCTATGGGAGTATTGGGGGGTGGGTACCACTGAACAATAGTTCCAGGATTTGAATGTTGGAGCGCTATCATGAAACGGGGCAATTCAGAATATGACTTCTCCCAACCGTCAAATATTTCTGCTATGGCCTTTTGCTTCCCCATCCATGTTCTCCGGTATGATACCGTATACCCATATTTTTCCTTCAGCATCTCAATGATAGTATGCACTTTAAGAGAAGGATCAGTGCGAACAATGTCTATCACATCTTTAGAGATGAAATCTGAAGTCAAAGCCACGTGATCGGTAGTGTCGGTGTTGCCAACGCACGTAGCAACATGAGGTCCAGGATAACGCACAATTGTGAAGGTGTCAAGGTTGCCTTTGTTCTTTGTGGCACGTATTCTCCAGGGGCAATCACATTCTTTCTTCCTTTTGCATTGTGCCACCCACTTGTATTTATCGGACTCTATCACCCGATAAAATTGGTTCCGTTTGATAGAATACAAGCTCACCATATTGATGACTTGTTCTTTGTTGTCAAACTGTTGACCGACCTCAAACTCACCATCGGGGGTAAACCTTTTCTCACCTGATCCACTCATCCACGCATCAGTAAACCCTCAGGGAGATCATAAAATCTAGTAAAACGGCTAGACGGGGCTGTTTTCGTGACAGTATCACCATCATCTTCATCAGATTCTGTCATGTCATCACCATTGATGTTCTCGTGAGCATCATCATCAGTTCCCTGCCCATCCACAAATGATGCACCGTTGTGCAAATACCTACCATCTTCTTGTATAACCATGTCCAGTACAGGAGCCTTTGAGGAGTTCCCTGCATTCACCCCTGCATTGACATCATGCGTAGATACGACAACATTTGATGTTGATTGAGTACCATAGGCGTCATAAGATTCCTCAATGTATAGCTCAAGCGTCGACATATCTTCCATCTGAGTTATGCCCCACATATTTGTTATAGCTAACTCATCAATGAGAGGCATAAGCGTGTACTTTCCCCCGTTCATGGGAAATTTCATTTTCAACCGCAAAGAACGGCTAGGATGAATCATTGTGGCTGCATGTATTTTTTGAAGGATCTCCAGCATGCAAGCGCCACGAGAAACCATGACAAAGCTGGTTCTACCACCTTCAAGGCATATTTGGCCAGCATCCTCATAATAGTTTCCTCCCCAATGACATATGATTGGGAAGCTTGAGAAATCCATATTCTAATAACAATTCATTGTCCAACATTCATGAGTAGGCATCAATATACACACTTTAAACACAATCAAATTTTCAATAGAAAAATTACCAAAATTGTAATATATGCAAAAGTCAAAATTCACAAACAATTCACATTTGAATATGAAACTACCAAAATTTTGATATCTACATTCACGTCTAACTTTCAATACCCAAATTTAGCTACATTCAAGTCTACCCAAATGCCCAAATGTCAAAATACACATTAAAATTTACAATCAATTTAAAATCAAATTTCAACCATTCATACATATCCACATTTCACAACAACTTAATTCAAAATCAATTCATAATCCAAAAATTCGAAATTTTTAACATTCAAAACCCTAAGTTCAAAATGAGATGAAATGGAGTTTTATTTACCTAGAAGAAAGAAGAAGGAGTGTTGCAGAAGAAGATGAAGGTTAGCCGGAGTGGGGAGGCCGGAGATGGAGCTTCGCTGGAGTTGGATACGAGCTCGCGGTCGTCTTGGTCGTTCGTCTGTCGTCGGTGCGCCTTGGGGGGAATTGGGGATGAGTTTTACGCAATGTTCTGTTTTGGGGCGTGACCCGATTTTTTACTTAAGGGAAAGTCGCCCAACGGTTGGGCGACTTATAAGTCGCCAAACCGTTTGGCGACTTATAAGTTGCCCAACCGTTGGGCGACTTTTTCCGACCATGGTTAAACCAGCAGTATTTTGGTAAATACTTTTAACCCAACCCTATTTTCGTAATTAATTAATTAATTAACATCAATTCGAAAAAAACTCGAAAAAAAGTAAATGAATTGGAGTTCTTTTAAAAATTCAAATACTTTGATAAATCGCTAGTGGTATTATATAGAGAAGGGAGAGTAAAGAGTTTAAAGAGAAAAAGTATCTTACATTAATGAGACTCAACTCACTCTCTGAGTTGAGTCTTCGAAGTGAAAAGGAGTAGAATTGTTTGACTTCTATCACGTACTTTGATTATTTTGTTTGGTGGCTACCCAACGTCCTTGTTGCATTTCTTGTGTTTTTGCTTTTTTTGTAAAAGGCGGACGAGGTGTAGCCCCTCAGTCCCCCACTCTTGAAGCTGATGTGATAATCGGGTTCGAGGAGTATGGCCTGTATGCTGAGTTGCCACCTTTTGAATTGATCCGAGAGTCCAATCTCTTTGACAAACCTTGAACAAGACAACTTGATTTCTTTGACGCGTGTCATTCTCCAACCGACTTCTGGTCAAGTGTTCTTTTTTGACTAAGGCGACGATGGACGAGGTGCAGGGGTGCACCCTAGGTTTGGCGTTATCCTTGTTCCTAAGCGATTGTCTGGGATCTTCAGGCGAGGTGACATCACCGAGGTGAAGACCGAGATAACTGTGCAGACAGTGAGCATACTTCTTAATTGTGGACTGGATTTGGTCGGGGGAAAGCAGTTGATGGGCATCATCGTGTAGGTGTCCAAGAGTGTGTGTCGTGAGTATGTGCCCATCTACTCTATCATACTAGCTATTTAGTCCATATACTCCCTCTATCACAAATTGAATTACAAAAAAGGAGTTTTTGGATCAAACAGACTCATTTTAATCACTTAATTAAGATATCAATTTTTAATT